GCCCGGCCCCACCCCCCCCCCCCCCCCCAGCCACAGAAAGGGCGAGACCCCACAGCTGCCGCCCGGGCCGTGCCTGCCCAGTGCCCTCTCTGGGCTTCACCCCTCCCCTCGCGCACACGCCGAGGGGGCGGGCTCCTCTTGCTTCCTAGTGCCGAGGGGGAGCGCTGGGGATGCGCCAGGCGCTCGCTTGTGCCAGCTGGAAAGTGCCAGCGAGGCAGCCTAGTGGGGAGACCAGCACTATCCCCCCCTCCGAGTCCGGCTACCCCCCCTGCACTGGGCTGTGGGCTGGCTGCAGACGTTCACCTCCCTGGCGCCACCGAGACAGCGCGCTCTCTGCGGCGGCGGCAGCACGGGAACATGGGTGAGAACAGGATCTGTCCTCCCGCCGCGCCAGGGTGAGTCGGGCCTCGCCGGAGGAGGCCCATGGCTGGCTGACGGCTCCCGCGTCTCAGGAGGAAGCTCCAGGTCAGCACCTGGCGGGGAGAAAGTCCAGGTGCTGGAGGGCTTGGCCCACGAGGCCCAAGGCAGTCAAGAGGCCGGCGGCAGAGCGGAAAGCCGGCCTGTTCCAATGGGAATGTGGCTCCCCTTCGGCAGCGGAGGCCACGAGCCCGTGGCCAGCCCGCGGCTGGGTGACAGCCCGGGGCCTGTGTCCTACAGTCACATGCTGTCCTCTGCACCCCGCTGGCCGTCAGCCCTGACCCTTCCCCGCTCCGCGGACTGGCCAGCAGGTCCCCTCAGCCCAGGAAGAAAGCACTCCGGCCCCTCCCACTCACTCGCAGCCAGGACTCAACCCACAACGGGGGCCCTCCCCACAGCCTGACGCCACCTCTAAGCCCCAACAAGCTCCCGCCGCCCTGCCCCCTCGCCCAGCCGGCTGGACTCCCTCGCCCGGGGAAGCGGGTGGTGGGAAGGTGCGGCCAGGTCAACCCAGTGGCACTGAAAACGCCACGCCCATTAGCCCTGACAGCTCGCCCCCGTGGGATCTATCCAACCCCAGCTCCTTCCTGCAGCCCCGTGCCTTGATCTCCAAGCGCTGCCCTTGCCGGGTGGAGCCAGTGAGCAGTTCCAAGCTGGAGCCTGGTGTCTCCCCGAGCTCGGCCCAGGAAAGCGGGAGGCCGGAGCCAGCCCAATGCCTGTGCCCAGAAGGAGACGCACACACAGTTACTCAGATAAACATGTTTATTGCAGAGCAAGGCGGAGGCGGACAAAGCCCAGCGCATGTGCAGCCGCATGCTGCCCTTGCCGGGTGGAGCCAGTGAGCAGTTCCAAGCTGGAGCCTGGTGTCTCCCCGAGCTCGGCCCAGGAAAGCGGGAGGCCGGAGCCAGCCCAATGCCTGTGCCCAGAAGGAGACGCACACACAGTTACTCAGATAAACATGTTTATTGCAGAGCAAGGCGGAGGCGGACAAAGCCCAGCGCATGTGCAGCCGCATGTGGCGGCCACGGGGCACTGGCTCCC